GCAGTTCTAAATTGCCTGGATATTTTTTTGTCTAAGGTTAGCTTCTATTTAAGTCCAAAATTTTATCGGAGGTGATTGAAATTAAACACCATAATTAATTTTTTGTATAATATTTAAATTGCATCTTTTTAATTATTTGTATTAAATTTTCTGTCTGATATTAAATTACTTATTATCCATTTAAGAAAAACGAAGATTTTTTTTTTTCTTTTCTTTTTCTAATAGACCAATTTAAATAGTTTAATTAATGACCAAGATTTTTAACAGTTAAGAAATATCGAGATTATATAAATATATATACATATTGAAGGGTGATAATGAAAACTTATATCGATATATGAGATGCTAGCTATCATACAATACACAGAAACAAATTACAATTTTGGTTTAAGGTATTTTGGTTTAAGGTATTTTTGAGTTATGTACTCAGACATATGAAGAGCAACAGTTAAAAACTAATAGGTATTTTACAGTAAAAAATCTTCAAAATTTCAAAAGACAACACCTACTTCTTTTTTTTTTTTATTTTAGACTGTTATCTCCGTATTCCAAAAAACCATAAATAGTGTTGAATCAATACCTGTAGCATGAAAATCGCAGGAGCTGACAGACAAAAGAAGAAAAAAATAATCAATAAGGCAGAGAAGCAAAACATTTGTATGCCATCATACGTGACCTCCTTCACGTGTGATGCCACTTTATGCAACAGATGGTAGATAGCATTGACGCACGTACCATGGCCATCTTATCAACGTCACACCGGATGAGAAATTCATTAGCGAAATCTAGCTGTAGTTGGTTATCATCGCTGCAACATCAGGACACGCTGGAACCGTTACAGAAACATGTGGGAACTAAAGCGCAAATCTTGCAGACAGTAGAAATTATCAACTACAGAACGTGTAAAAACACATTTACTTATGGGCTCATGGACTTCTGCAACAATTTTGACGGAAACGAAGTCCTCCAGGCCGAGATTGATCGCATGCTCAATCAGTTTATTAAAATTTGCCAATCAGAAAGCAGGTCTCGGCGTTTTTCTAATACAGTTGGCAATTAAACCGTGATATTTTTATGCATAAGGGCTGCACCGAAGTTACTCACTTTGCACTACCCCAGGGCGTGAAACTTGAGGATAAGCCACGGACGCGGAGTAACAATGCCCCCACAATGCTCTACGATCTTATTAGGACCGGTACCTGCTGTTTAAAGTGGTTCGAACCACTACAAACACCCATGGCAACGCTGGGATTCGAACCCGATACCTGGTACCGAGTGCCAGAGCGCTAGCCACTCGGCCATTATATCTCGGCGTATCCCATTGTTTCTGCTGTACATACACAATGCCTCAGGGGCAATTTGTCCATACAGGTAATAATTCTTTACAATTTCGATTTGTTGTTTCCTTGTAAACGATATGATGTTCAGAGTGAAAAAAAGTAAAATATTCGCCAGGTATTATAAGGTATCCATTTTTACACTAGTGTCAGCAACCTCAGTCTCTTACGCTGAGCCAGGAAATCTGTATGCTTTGTTTTCCTCTCGTTTTGAAGGAATTTCTGTGGGTTGAAATCAAAACCACGCTCTAGTGAGTGTCACAGTTGTTTTCTATTTTCTTCTTAGTCTAGCACTGGCGATTTTCGTGGTACAGGTACCGTTCCAATGATATGTATGGTTTTCGTTATGGGAATTGCATTCGAATAAAAAAGTAGATCGAAACTTTACCACCGTAACAGAAACTGCTTCGCTTAACTGTGGTTTTTCATATGATTCTTGAGATACATACCTCAAACCAAAAATTTTTTTTCAATAGAACACCAAAGAGTTTTATAATGAATTTTTTTTGCTTGCAAAATATATTTTAGTACACAAAAAAAATTAACTCTCCTTCATACTTAACATAGTTATTAACACTTATCGTTATCAGTACTTTTAAATAGTCTCCTCAAATGCGTCGTATTCCATTTAAAGATCTACTAAATATAATTTATATTTTTACATAATGTTCACCTTTAGAAAAGTATTTTTTTCTTTTGCTTCAGTAATTATTAGTGATTTTTATAGTTACATCATAATAGTATATAAGTTGATCATAACTACATAATTTTTATTGAATTTTCATGTTATGATTTTACTTTAAGTGAGCGATTCCATATTATAACATACGAAATAGATAAATATTTGTTAAACGTTCTTCATATAAGAGTGAAGTTCGTTAACCTTATCTTAAATTTATGGGGATTTTCCGATTCAAGGGATCCAATCGCCAAACCCCAGTTTCGAACTAGGTCGGCTGTCGCCAAAATGGCGATGATTAATTTAAGTAAAATGTAGAGCAACCCTTTTTATGACGGATTGTCCGGTTTTTATGACGAGTGCGCCCGGTTTATGATTATCTCAATTTTAAATGACCAGCATCGGTGTGCGTGCTTGCCTCGTACTTTTTTTTCTTTTTGTGTGAATCTACAATTTTCATATTATTATTATTTTATATTATAAGATTTTACTTTTCGTCATAATCGGAGTAGAAAAGTACATTTTACGTTATTTATTATAGCGTAATTTTATTATTTATTATGCTCTGGAACTCAGTGCCACAGGTTTCGGACTCAAATCCCGTCTGTGCCAAAGGTTGTTTGTCATGGTTCGGAAGCCACTTTAAACAATATATCTAGGTCTCATATGACTATATAGTGTTGGGAATAGGGCTAACAAACCTACCCCGAAAACAGAAAACATCTTCTATGTCGAAATCTACCAGTAGGCAGACGTTGGCTCCACAATGGGTCTGTTGCGTCGCTGATTATTATATTTAAAATTTCGCATTAAATATGCGTAATTTATCGAAGTATAAATTCTTTCTTTTAAGCCTAGTTTCACAATCCTGTGACATCCGCATTGTGTATTTGTGTATTTAATTGCGAAAAGTTAAGTCTAATAAATTATTATTTCAAACTATTTTAATGTATTTAGCTTATTTATTTAATTAAGTCTATGAGGGGAGGGGGGATAAATAGCCATAAAATGAGAGAGCATTTGCATCATAGTCATCTTAATTTATAAACTAAAGAATTTCAGAAATATGGTTTCTCAAAAATTCCGACAACATATTACTATTATATTGTTCGATTTGGTGCCTAATGGATGAGTGACTAGCGCTCTGGCTCGGTACCATAGTTTTCAGGTACGAGTCCCAATGGTGCCATGGATCTTTGCAGTGGTTCGAAATCCGCTTTAAAAAGTAGGTCCCAGTCTAATAGGATCTTATTGTGTTGGGGGTAGTGTTACTCATGTCCGTAGCCTATCTTTAAGCTACACATGCCCCCTGGGTAGTGCTAAATGAGTAACAGAGTTACAACCCTTGCTTGTGGCATAAAGTTTAACTGTATCTATACTGCCAGTTAAACATTATTAGATTCCAACACATTATCAGATTTATTTAAATGAGCTTAGAAATTTAACATGCGACATATAGTTGCATTTTATTTTTTTTATACGAATTAAGGCGAACATTTATTTCAAAAATTTCTTTATTTTATTTTATTTACTATTTTTACATCTTTTCTTTAACCGATTTTTACATTATACACAAAAGGATAAAAACGTTAACTCATAATGGTTATTATACGTTAAAGGTTCAAAACATCAATTGATAGCTTATAGTGAGCGTTATCTGTACTTTAGTTTTCATTTTTCCAAAACAGCTTAATCGCTTCATCTCCTTTAGAATGTATCTTTCAACACAATAGTCTGGTTTGTTATGAGATTTTTTCTTCCCGGAGTGATATTACTGCGATATCTATCAGCAAAGTTTGCTGGTAGGATGCCAGAATCAATTCGCGGCTAATGTTCAACAGTCAAGTATCACGGATACACGTACATTGTGTGTTGGTAAACTTTGTATTGTACTAAATAGGCCCAATTCCTCGGTACTTGAAAGCATTGAAGTTTTTTAATTTGTGTTTTTGTTCCTGGTATCTTTCATGGATGAATGTTAAAAATGTTTCATTTTTTTTTAGCAGGGCTAATCTAACATCTCATCTTTTTTATCATTATTAGCATAACTACAGATAATGATGAAAATTACGATAACACTCATATTATGAAATTAATCACATCAGCATTTGAGGCGGAAATACATTGAAAATCTAATTTCATCATAATTACAGTATAATGCTTTGTATGCATGTAGTTAATGTATTTTTATAAATAAAATATGTCTAATTTTATTTATAAATACTTAATTCTAATTTTTTAATTATATGTTTCCATTACACATTTTCTCTAATCTATAACAATCTAGAAGAACGCGGCATACGTTTCTCAGCCAAAAAAAGATGCATTGTTGAAAATTACATGTGGTGAATGCATTCTCTAAGTTCCAATATAGGTGCATACTCATTTTCATGGATATCGTTCGAACAGTCTATAAGATGAAATGCTGCAGCACTCTCTGGTGGCAGGTAAAAATAAAGTGGATAGCGCGAACTTAATTTCAATACTGGAATATATATTATTACCAATTTTTATAGCGATTGGTTTAATAGTATAGGAGTTGATATACTGCAGCTCCAACTAGTGGCGACTTACAAACAAAGGGGGATAGCCAAGAAACATTCTCCATGATTTGTCAAACACACACAAAACATTTTATCCAAATCCGTCAAGCGGCTTAGGAGGAGTTCAACGACAAACACAAGTACAGAAGAACTCGATTGCAGCACCACCTAGCGTGCCCAATTGGGAATCAAAACTATCCAGGGGCCAACTGAAACACACAGATCATCAAATTCATCAAAATAGGTCCAGACATTTAGGAGTAGTTCAGTGGCAAACACAAATACAGAAGAATTATATATATAAAGATATACAACGAATAATATCTCTTGATTCGAAGTAGTAGTTAGTAATAGATGACATATAAATATATATATATATGTATATATATATGTATATATATATATATATATATATATATACAGAGAGAGAGAGAGAAGCCAACGGCCATACCAAGCTGAATGTTCTCGTTAGATCACCGAAGTCAAGCATCATTAGGCGCGGTCAGTAAAGGTGGGTGACCCCCTGGGAACACCGCGTGCCGAGAAATTGTTAGTTTCTGAAATCACACATAAATACATAAGATAACACGAAGTTTTACTCTATTTTTACTGTTGACTTTTCTACAGATCGTAGATTTCCATGAGTCGCTGATTAATTATTTCCTGGAAAGGAGGCGGTAGGTCCAAAATATTTAAGGACTAGTGGTTGCCTATTATCCTGCTGTTTAAAGTGGATTCCGAACCACTACAAACAGCCAAGACACAACCGAGACTCGAACCGAAACTTGTGGTACCAAGGGTCAGAGCGCTAGCCACTCGGCCATCAGGTACCAACACTACCCATAATATACATATATATGTAGATCACCGAAGTCAAGCAACATTGGGCGCGGTCAGTACTTGCCCCCTGGGAACACCGCGTGCCGTTGGCATTCACAAATTTGAGACCTGAATGGCCGAGTGTCTAAATCGGTGTCATTATTCAGGGTTCGAATCCCGGCGGTGCCATGGATGTTTTTAGTGGTTCGAATCCACTTTAAGCCGTAGGTCCCGGTCTCCTAATGAGTGTAACAGCATCACGGAGCCAAAGTCAGACTTCTACCTACGGGTGCTCTATCACAACAGAAGCTGCTTCCAATCATGAGTACGGGCTCGACTAACAACGAAGGGGATAGCAACAACATATATATATATATATAGAAAGGACAAAAATATAAATTAAAAGTTCAATATAAAATATTAAATTATTATTGTTAAAATTCAGGGTGCAGCAGAAAACAGAAAAGCTCGGATAATAAACAAATCACAGAAAATCGTATGATTTTTTTATAAAACAGAAATGAAGTTTTGAAGCTTTAAAACTCGACACTGGGTGGAGCTGCTAGTGTTGTAAAATCTGTTTTCCTCCTTGACTATTACATGAGTTGTTACCACCGGTGTGTTAAGATTGATTGCCTACCTTGCATATATAATTTGTAAATAATAACTATGTAAATAAATGAAACTTCAATAAATATCTGAATTCATTGATAAAGACTTCTCGGACCAGAAAGCTATGATTAAATGATTTCAAAAACCACAGAAACGAAAGAAACCAAGATAGCCGTAGTAACAATAGAGCAATACAAATGATAATGTTTATGTTTGCTTGTAAGATAAGACAGAAAATTTTTTTCAGGGACAACAACTCCTCTCTCCTCATCGAAATAACAGTTTTTTTTCAATTTCGTACAAAAAAAATGTTTTATTCTTTGTCAATCCATACCCTAGTCTTAAAAGATATCACTTCCGTTTAAAATAAACGACCCAAACTTTCCTATGACGTCCTTCCGTCCCCTTCCAAAACCTTCAGCTACTAATAATAAAATCTTTTCTTACTAGCGTCGTGAAATTTTCAGAAAAAATATTATCAATTTAAAACATCTCATGTGACTCTTATAACTAATTTCTTGAAAGAAAAAATTTTATTCTCGATGTAAAAATATATAAAATCTAATAAAGACGCTTTTTCCGAAATTTATCGTAAGTCTGCCTCCTCAATAAACGTTTCATATGCTTGTTTGAATACGTTAATACAAAGTAAAGAAGGCACATAACTCGAGCAGGATGGCTTGTATCCATCAAAAGTTTGTTCCTGCGCTTCATGTTTTATTCAATACATTTTCTCATTTTAACTTTAGAGAAAAGTCCGCCATCTTTCCTTTATGAGCAAATAAAAATCTACTCGTATATTTAATAAAGGGTTTCAGTTTTCTCAATCGATTTTATGGGGGACATAATCAATTATTGAAATTCTAAAAGTCAGCGCACAAGAGTTCTGTTTACCATTTTGATGGAAATTACGAAGTAAATTCTGAAATGGGACTTTATGCATCTATAAATAAAAAAATATGCATAATAAAGTAACACCAAAGAAGAAATTATAATAAAACTAAAATATATAATAATCATTAAACAGCTCGATTGTTAAAATAAGCATATAAATATTTTTTTGATAAATTGTCTGATTTATAAAAGTTCATGAAATAACTGTACATTAAATAAAAATATCTAATCATTCAATATGGTGACTAAAAATATGATTCTTTAAACATTACAGTATTTAAATAGAATTTTTTTAGTATTACACTATAGATACATTTTTAAGGATACATTTGATTCTTAAACAGTTCGATTATAAAAATTTATATTTTTTTGATAAATTGTCTGAATTTATTTATTAAATTCATGAAATAACTATACATTAAATAACAGATTATCTCATCATTCAATATGTTGTTAAATGTGATTCTTTAAGACATTCAAGTATTTAAATAGAATTATTTTAGTATATTAAACAGCATTTAAGATACATTTTAATGATACTTCTGAAAAATTTGTATTTATATGTATCAAGCATTACTGAAAGTAGTTCCTTTGGATAATAAATAAATTTAGTAGTGTTATTTAGCAGATAATTTTCAACTATTAATTCCAGGTTTAATTAAAGTGACTGGACAGAAAATTTGGATTGGATTGTTTGATAATAAAATGCTATTTAAGTAAACATTCATAAGTGTTACATTAAACTAAACCATGAACCTATATTATTATAAATATTTATACATTTTGAAACAATTAATTGATTTTAGAAAATATAATCATGCTACCCGTTGAAATTAAGATTCAGATAAAATTATAAACAGCTATTTCATTTTGTGTGTAAATAGTCTTTTTAAAATTTTGCGATGTCTAATTTTCAATACCACATCAATTTGTGCTTGCTAATTTTAATTGGCATATTGATGAAAACTTTATTCTTTAAATAGCGCATATTTTATTTTTCAAATTATTTTAATATAAATTATTTAATTGTCGCATCAACTATTCACACATTTTTATTATTATTTTCTATCCTTATTTCTTTATGTACCTTTTCTACGAAACTGTATTATATATAAATTTCATTTTTAGTCTACGCAGGCCTCGTGCACTTCAGATTAAACGGAAATGGCTTTTTTAAATATACACAGTTCAGTTTTATTCAAAATTAATGCACCACCACCTACTTTCGACGTCAACAAAAAATAACCCATCAAAAAGGCAGGTGGCAGCACATTGAGTGTATATAAATATTCTACTTAATACCACTTAAAATTCACTTAATACACATTTTTTATTACACTCATTTAAAGCCAGAATATACAAGAGTGTATATTCTGGCTTTGAAAGGTGGTCACATTAATGTGACTGGATTGTGTATGTAAAATTATTTATTTTATTCAATTTTTAATCACAAAATGCATTTTTTTTTTGAAATTTAATGAATATAAATATTTTTAAAACATTCATTTCAGTACAATCCAGAAAATGTACATTGCCCATTAAAAATTTTAAAAATTTGCTGTGGCATTACACTACTTTCTGACAAAAGGTACATCAAAAAATAAAAATTTTAATAATACCAATACAAAAGGTACCGAAAATTCTAATTTATTCAAACTTTAAATCGATAATGCAGTCAAATTGCATGATGATCGGAGGTGCCATAAGGGCCACACTGCGTGGTAATTAATCTCTCACTTTTGGGGGCAGAACTGGCGCTGTGGCAGTCCTACGGAAGTCCGGCCGGGACACGATGGAAGACGCTCAGGACACCCACACATGGCAAGTCTTCTGACTTTACCATCCTGTATTCTCAGAAGAAAAAATAAAATATTAAATATATATATATATATATATATATTGTATTTGTATGTTTATCTTCTCTCGTTAAAATACTTATTTTAATCAAAATTTATATTTGTATTTTTTTTTAAATGTGAGCAATGTGATTTCAATAGTTTAGTAACATCGGAAAAAAATCTAGTTTGATGCCCTCCATGACTAAAATTCTAAGTACAGTTCCAGCACTTTTTTTTTTTTGTAATTGATATGAATTGTTTTCATTACTAGAAACGGTACTTCACACAGGTATGTAGAACCAAATTGTAAGCTTACATTCGTTTCTGTGGTTAGTAAATCTGGATATTAGGTTTATCCATCACTATAGTTAAACACTATACATATCACTAGTTTATCTATCTCCATCTTATTCACTAATTATGGGGATTTTTTTTTAAAATTGGGATTGTAATGTTATTCTTTATGTCTTGTCAATTAGCTGTTCTTGAGTTACAATTAAAAGATAAATTACTTTAACATTTTTATTTTTAATGTGTCAATTAGGTTTATGGCCCATTGAAGATTGGTAAATTAGTTCCAAATTCTGTTTAATTTATTTTTTTTTATTATTATTCCGCATAAAATTTTATCACCAATATCTTTTGTGTACCCACAAGTAATTTACGGATCTTTAATGGGTCATGAATCCTCTGGCTCAAAATGTAAAAATAAATAATCTTCAGATTGATAACTCAAGAACGACTAATTGACAAGAGAATCTTGATCGAACTTTGGGATCACTGCTCTAATGCTGTAAACCTTGACTACTTTAGTGGGACCACTGTCCTAAGTGGAAACCACTGCTCTTGACAACGGGACAGTGGTTATGAAGTGGTGTCGGAATCCGCCAAAGAGTGCGCCACTCACCCGCCAAGACAACTCTGGCACTGCGAGACACTCCAGAATCGAGTCCATGTCCAATCGCTGCTGCAGATTTCTTTAAATTAAGGATTTTTGAGCCACGGTGGGTAGGAATATTACAGAGGTGAGTGTTGTTGAACGCGAACCCACCTGGAGGCTGCAGCTTGTGTAGATCTCAGTGGTAGTGGTATATAATTGAGAACCTTGAGGAATGAAGCTGTAGAAAGGTTCCATGTTAATAGCAGTTATTAATGGTCATTCGGCCCTAAGGGGATCGGAAAAAATCTGTTCTAAACGAAGCGTTGACATATCCGCCATATGTATCTGTCTCATTGCTGAACTAAAGGAATGGTTTACTAATAAATTAAAATACAATATAAATTGGATTATTGTAAGAAAAAAAAAAGTAAACCGGTGATAAATAAGCAGAGTACTACTTTGTACAACATGGTAAAGTAATTATGCATACATTTTTCAA